ATATTATTTTCTCAAGTCTGTATTATAGGTCAATGAATGGATAGCTACTTAATTCGATTTTGAATGTAAATGTCAGTTTGAAAAACAAATTTCATCATATAATTAATCCTAATCGAAGGTATAATTTTAGTTATTCATAATTATACATATATACTATGTCTATATAGATGAATTATAATTGAGTTAAACTAAAAAAATAATCTATTCTTATCAATTCCGAACAACTACTTTTCTTAAACGAAAAAATATATGTATAGTAAAAAATGCATATAAGTAAACCAACATGTATTCCTATTATGCAATGAAGTTTTAGTACAAGTTTGCTTCATTTATTTTCGAAACAAACTATAAACAATTGAATCTTTATTTATATTCGAAGTCGAATTAAGCAGCTTATACTAGGCAGTTCATGTTGTGGCGGAACCAAGATTTTGAGCTGAGAGAATTCAGTCTCCGCTGAGAGACTTTTGAGCCTGCCTTGTTAAATAAAATATATGCTTCAAAAATTTTTCTCAAGATACTAAATATCTTTCCAACCATCTCCTGATTCTGCCACTATGTTGATAAGATCAATAGTAAACACTACCAGTGGAATATTAACAAACATGGATACAAGCTTTTAATCATAATTTTATATGAAATTTCTAATGTTTTTATAAGTTAATTTTTCTGATTATCATCGAACGAATGCTAAATGATCATTAACAAGATCATTTTCTTTAACAGATAGATATCAATATCACTTAATCAGATAATCTGCATAAAGACTATTTATTTATTTCATGATTAATTTTTCTTTTTTCTCTAAAAAATAATTTTTAGCATTTAAAGTTATGGTGATGACAATAATCGAAGTAATTATCAGGCTAAAGAACAATTGAACTTACGAGGCAACGGTTTTAACTGTCCATTCACTTTTGAGTTAAATTCTGTACATCAGATAGATCCTATTGATGCATGAAAAATCCCGAAAAGATTTAGTATTCTTAGATCTTCCACCCAAAATAATAGGCATTTTACCTAGGGGGAAACGGCAGATTTTTGGGATTCCGAATCCCTAAAAATCCAGTAAAAATCCCGGGAGTACAATGGAAATCCTGGGAGTACGATGGGAATCTCGGGAGTACAATGGGAATCCCGGGAGTACGATGGGAATCGAGAGAATCCAGGGAGTACGAAATCCGCCGTTTCCCCGTAGATTAGGACTGATAATGAACGACCAATATTCGTTAATTCCGACTTGTATTCGTGTAATCTGAATATAAAGCGAAGTAGATTTTTATGAGTTTGGTTTTTTTTCTTTTGTTATCGATATCAGTTTGAGCTAAACTGAGATTAATTTTAATCATTCAGCGATAAATGTTGACTAGCTTATTTTTGTTTGTCATCATTGATGAGATAATGTTTTAATGTAGAAGCAAAAGTCCTGATAAAAAAATTTAAATGACAATAATGCTAGTTGAATTGATGGTAGACATAGAGTAACTCATTTGTTTTGTGCTCTAATTTATATTGACTTCCCATAAACTAAGGGAATTGTAATTGAAGCGAAAACAAAGATATTGACTGGTTAATATATTTTGTTTTTTTGTGTCTATAAGTTAATTATCATAATTTGTGGCTAATGACCGTCAATGCGGTTTGATATTAGAAGAATTTGAAATCAAGGAAAATTGTATGTTCAGTTATTTGTTTTATTTTCTTTTGTTATTGATATCAGTTTGGAGTAACATAATATAACTTTGATGGTTCCAGAACAAATGTCAATTAGCATAGGGTTTTTTTTTGATAAAGTCATACTCCTAATGTCGGAGTATAAGAATTGTTTATAAAGACTTAGGTGATAACAATGTTATTCGAAGTCAAGATAGATATCGACTAATTTTTTTTTGTTTTATTGTTAATATCAGTTTGAGGTCAGATAGGAGGAATTAGAATTAAGATAGAAATAGATATTGGCAAGTTCATTTTTCTATTTTTTTGTTTTGGTGGATTAGTATGTATAATACGTGAGTAAAGATAACGAATTTGAATGTATGTGGAAAGTTTGAGTATATATGAAAGTAAATATTTATTAGTTTAATTTTAATTTTTTGTTAATTGATATCAATTTTGTATAAAACTAGGAGAGCTCAAATCAAAGTGGAAATAGATATTGACTAGCATAGCTTTTTCTTTCCTTCATAATGATTTAAGACTGATAATGAACTCACAGTAGTCATCAATTAGGATTTTTATCAGAGTAATGTAAATCACTGTGGCAACACATATTGAGTAGAGTATCTCTTTGCTTTGTTGTTGATGAATCAATTCAGCTAAGGTACCGACAAAAGCCATTATTTTTGACTTATTTGAGACGAGTTTAAATGAAAGTGAAAATAAGTATTTAGGAGCTTACTTGTATCGTTTTTCTTGTTAATGGATTCATGCTCATAATAAACGAGTAGTGGTCGTCAAGTCGAAATTATATTTGACAAATCCAAATTCACGCAAAAAAAAGACTTTGACTATATAGTTTTTTTTTTATTATTTTATTATCGGTATCGGTTTTGATCAAAATAAAATTAATTTTAATAGACCGAAAAGAGATATTAAATAGATTGTTTCAATTTTTTTTGTTATTGATGAAGAGATGCTTGTTGTGTAGGAGGAAAAATTAATGATTAACATTGACATGCAAAATAATGTTATCCAAACTCTGGATATGTATCGACTAACTTTTATGTTTTGTTTCGTTGTTGATATTGATTATGAATAAGAGAAAGGAAATTTTAATGGGAGAAAAAATAGATATTGGTCAGCTTAGTTCTTTTTTGTTTTGTTGTTTACAAATTAATGCTCAAACTACAAAGAGGAAGTTATTGAACTTGAACTTTTATGAGTATAGTTGTAGTATATGTGAAAACAGGTACTAAGTACTTCAATTTTGTTCAGTTGTTATTGATATGAATTTTGGCAAAGAGAAAAACTATTTCAACGAAAGAATAAATATTAATTGAGATATTCGATCGGTTTATTGCTGATAAATTATAATTCATAAAGCAAGTGCATAGTTCGTGATAGTTATACTTATGTGAGAAGAATTTTTTTTTTGAACGAAGAACAGATATTGAGGAATTTAAGTTCTTGCTTTTGTTATTGGTATCGACTGTGAGGAAATGAAGAACTTTTATTGGAAAAAGATAGAGATTTATTGACTTATTTGTTTTTTTCTTGTTAAGAAATATATGCTTATGTTGTGTAATGTAACGTTGTCGATTGGAATGGATATAAATAGAGTTTCAATTCAAACCAGAGCAGGTTTCAAAACGTTTAATGGCAATGTGCACTGATTATTTGAGGTTATTCTGTGCAAGAGGTATATCTCTCCATGGTGGTTTGAAATCTCTGCAATCTGGATCTTTACACTTAATCTGGTATTTATATGTGACAGTATCAATAATAATACAGGTTTGATTGGATTTGTGATGACGTTGTAATCTTTCACAAAATCGAAATGAACCACAGATGTTGTAAAAGAGTAATGATTGATTTTTCGTGCCTTGTTGACAGGATTGTATGTGTCCGTTTGTGGAATATTCTTGTGAGATGATACTTGATACAAAATTTGTGAAAAGGTCTTGTTGATTTAATAGTCCAGTTGATGTTATTAATGTAGTTGTATGTGCTTGATTGTTGACTAATATTGTTGTGTTTGATGAAGTTAAAGATTTAAAATAGTCTGTCGTAGATAAGTCAATTGTATAATTTTTGTTTTGGTTCGATATTGACCATCGGTCTTGATTATATGAAATGATCATAATATCGATACTATTGCTTGAATAAGAGATTAGAGCATGATGAAGAACAGAATTATGATGTACATTAGTATTTGTAATCATATGATGGTGTACATTATTTTCATTGGAAGGAAAATGAGATATGGGTAATAATGGGTTATTTTTTCCGAATTTTGTTGCTTTGTATAATCTGAATTGTTGATTTTTATTATAAACATGGAGATCAAATACCCATTGATAAGAACCATCTTGCTCTAATAAATAGAAAATAGAACTCAATTAATAATCATATAAGAATATAAAAGTACTTTTATATAAAAGTTTTTGGAAGTTTTTGCAAGTTATATTAGTTCTAGGTATTGTACAATCACAGAAATTTTTAAGATTTAATATAATTTGTAAGTCAGCAAGGTAATCATTTCGATGATTTTTATGATTTATGTTAAGTGATGGAAAAAATTGTTGTTGACATGAGTGAGATAATATGAAATGTGAGCAATGGTGCAGTACCATCATAATAAATCGAAAAATTGTTTGCTGTGATTCAAATCTTATAAATGTATTCGTATAAATCAAATGATAACTGTGTTTTTGTTCTGTTGATGCCGATAGTACTAGAAAGTGGTTAGAGAACAATGTTGAATTATATGAATGTGGATTGGTACAATTCACTATAACGTAGTGAAATAGATTTTGGAAGATCAGCAAAGATTCTTCAACATTTAAATCGAAAGAGTTTTCGACATATGTATCAAAATCAACATATAGTTTACAAGATTTATTTTTACAAAGAACTTCATATAATGTACGTTGAGATGGTTTTAGAAAATGCAACAACTTTGATAATTCGTCAAAAGTAAGACTTAAAAAATAGCGTTTTTGATTATTATATTCAGCTGCGACAACAATTAAATCTTGTTCCGCATTATTTCTTATTGACATATTAATTAGTAAACTATTAAGTTTATAAAATATTTTAACTTCTGGTATAAGTTCATGTATGTAATGTGTTCCTTGTGGCAGACTTTCAACCATAGACATTTTATTAGAAATTCTTAAACTTTATTAATATTAGTATGCTGTTATATTTTCGTTCCTTTTACTATACAGTAAAATCTTGTAAAAGAAAGTAAGTAGACACAATCGAGGCGCTTAATATTAAAAAACAAAATAATCAACATATATACTAGTAATATTTGAAAACAAAGATTTTAATTAAAATAAAGCTAAAATTATATTGAAATATTTTTAAGAGTAAAGTAAAAACAAAAAAAATACACGTTTACACAGAAAGTAGTAATATTAATCAATAATATTCAAGTATCGTTTGTTCAGATACATTGATCGATACATAGTCTATTTAAAAAAAATGCTATATATGGATCTAGTTAAAGTAGAGTCTCATACCGTTGAAATGATTTATTTTTGCATTACGGATTCGAATTTTCTTGTTTATTATACTTTCAGGTACATTATTGTTCTATGTACGTGTACCAAAATATGAAAATAAATACTAATGTAAATGAATATTTATTTGTCAAGTGTTGATTTACTTTGTCATTCCATATTGTTACGTTAACAGTACTTGTTTCATCTTTAATTTTAATTAATCTTCTTCGTATATTTGTACCAGTATTTTGTGAAGTCGTTGTAACTATGCCTCTGTCCATTATTACAATACCTTCTACATCTATACTGTATGAAACTTTTGTTTTATGAGTTTTTTAGAATGATATTAAGGTGGTTAATAATTAGATATTAATGAATGAACTTTGTGAAACATGATCTATATGGAGTCTTGAAGTATAATGGTAAAAAAGGAAGCTTTTTCTCAGATAAACAGTGGATTTGTTAGCTAGAGATCAAGAAAGACACTGGCTTAAGTCCATTACGGATCATTATAGACGCTGACTTGAAAGTATTATTACTATTACACTACTAGTGGGAAGTATGATAGACCGCAAAAAGTTCAAGCCAGATGTTATCACAAACGGTAATAGAAACATGTTAAGAAGTGTTAAAGTCTGTAACAGAATTCCAGCATAGGTCAACACCGACCGTAACGGACATTGCTGGCATATGATGAAAGACCGCATATCAATAACGTCTGGTTATAATATATAAACTGGTTTCATATCATATCTCTGAAGAATAAATTAAAACGATCGTGGAAAAATATGTTTCAGAAAATGTAAAATAGAGTGATCCTTAACAACCAACAATAGTAACTATATCGAATTTCACATGTTTAGTTCAGGTGGCATTGGTCTAGCAGCCTTTTTTCTTGTAAGAAATATTCAATAATACCAGCGATGATTCTTTTCCTTCTAGCATTTTGTTATAGAAATTGATATTAAATGGATAGTTTTGCAATTTTTAGTAAATTATCAAATATGTTTTTTTTTGGCATATATGTATTTTGAGAAAAAAAAACATAATCAAATGTAATCATTAAAAGTATAACATAAAACGTTGATTGATGATGATAGAGAAGAGATGTGTGGATATAAATTATGAAACAACTTACCGACATTTGTTCCATGTAGTTTTTGAGGAATTTCAGAAAGTTGGCGTTTTGTAATTTTCATTATTGGTTTAAAGCCATGATTTGCGTATGATTCAATGACAGTACTTGATGTTACTCGAATCTCATATAATGAATAAGGCGAGCGATAGTTTTCATTTGCTCTTTGAATTTTTCCATTTTCTATTGTAATTAACTGGAAGACATTCTTTATTGTATCAAACTTCATTTTTATTAATTACTTGATGGACTATCATGTTGTTATATAAACGATCGACATCTTCGTTGAATGCTACTATTTTTATTTCACCAGTAAAGTCACAAACAATTGCATCAAATACTTTGCCAGATGTACCGAAAAATCGTATTGGAGATTTGTAAATTATTTTAGAACGTATTCGAAAACTATAATATAGTTTAAAAAACTGAATCTGGAAATAGATTTACTTTAAAAAATTTTCATTAAGAGCTTCGATTGCTTGAAACGAATTTCCTTCCGAAGAAAAATATTGAATAATCAAATCTTTCATTAGAATAGAAACTATCGATATAATAAAATATGAAGCAATAATAATTACGTTGTATTTGTGGTGTAGATGAAGTATTTGAAATATTACATGAGACATCTGATGTATCTTCGATAGATTCTTAATAACAAAATAAATTGCATTATTTCGTATATGTTATTCACTTATTATTTCTCAAGTAATTTCCTACCAAAATTATTCTGCTGTTGATCAATTGAATCACTTGTTTCGATTATGATATTTGTTGCTTGTTCATTATTGATATCCGATGCTTGATCATTGTTATCAGCAACAATATGAATAAAGCTACTATTGTTATTTTCGACAATGTTTTCATTTAAAGCTAGTAAGATAAAAGTTTTATTTTGGTATTGAATAGAATTTTGATGAGATATACTTCCGGATGATATCGATGAATGAAAAATATGTTCTGTTTTATATTCGGCGAATGATCCTGTATATTTACGCCTTTTGTGTTGTATTAAGAAATGCGCGATCTTTTTTTTTTATTGTATTAAAAAAAAAGAACCTATTTAGAAAAAATTATTTACTCGGGCATATTTCTTCACTTGTCGTATGCTCATATTCATGATTCGAAGTTTCTGAATCGGATAATGATACTAATAGAACATATGTTCATTCATAAGATGTTGATCGTTAGTTATTATTTACTTATATAATATGATCGATTTGTATTTTCAACCATTTTTTTATTTTAATAGATTGATGACAATGTAAGTTATTGATAGAAGTAATATGGAGTAGAGTATATGACAGAAGTTTGATTTATATTAAAGGCGCGATATCAAATATTATTGTAATGCTGTTTATTAACTAGTTTGATTCTATTAATTATCAAGTTTTTTAAAGTTTACCAAGAAAGGTTTTAAAAAAAAATGCAAAATTTAAATTTAAATTGCTCATTTTTGTGTACTCAAAAAGTGAGTACACTCTAGAATCGGTCAGTGTGTCCGTCCGGCCGGCCGGCCGTCCGTCCGGCCGGCCGGCCGTCCGTCCGGCCGTTAACACGATAACTTTTGAAAGGAGAGTCCAATCGCGATGAAATTTTCTACACAGTTCAGTCTTAACAATGTCTCGGTCGAGTTCGAAGATGAGCAGGATCCGTCAAGAAATGGCTGAGTTATCGAAAAAATTGTCATTATTGAGAAGATCATCCCTGAGGGGGAGTACAGGGATTTTTNAAAGATTCACTATGACACTTTTGTTTTTACAGAGTACAATTAAAAAGTTTTCCTGATATTGATCACACTTAGTAGATGATAAAAACAGATATGATTTTGATAAAAAATAATACAATTATTTAAAAAATAAGTGAAAAATCGTGTTATGGATTAAATATCTTACTTCAAAAAAAGTACATGTTATCGAAACAAAGTATTTAAGCCATGAAATTTTCATTCAAATATAATTTATTTTGAACGAGAAAAGATTTAGAGCCAGTATAGCTCAGTGGTGTATGTGGATGACTGCTGATCACTGGTTCATCTGTTCAAATCTGATCATCATCGCTTAAGGTAAAAATCAATCCATTCACCAGATTAGGCTAAGATCATCGAGAAGTGTTGATGATGGTTCGAATCTGAGATGGATTCTGATATATTTTTCAAAATTTTTATATTTTACATGAAACGCGTTTAGACGCTTCGAATGTTTCATAGGGGACGCGTTTGAACGCAAGTCAAACTACGAACACATTCAAACGCGTTTCTAAATGAATCGCGTTCAAACTCTTCATTTGTTTCACTGGGGACGCGTTCAGACGTGTTTGCTCTTAGCGTTCTGCACGCAAAGCAAGCGCGTTTCAGACGCGTTTCGAAGCAAAAAATATTTACATGGGCGCGAATTTGATTGGTATGCTTCTTGGCACCCATCTAGTAAATTAAGTCCATATTCATCTTCGCAACTTGATTGACGTTAAGCTTCTAGAAATCCAGTAGATGTACTTTGAAATGACAGATAGAGCAATGAAATGAGAATATCGAGAAACAGTTGAAATCAAAAGAATGCAACTCATTTCGAATGAAAATCAATGTAAGGAAAGAGTTTCTTCTGACATAATCTCTCTCATCATTTTCGAGTCTTCGAAATTCTCAAGGTCTTTTATGATATTTTTGTATTCTTTGAAGAAGGTCATCATTCGAGAAGTTAAAAATGTAAAAGTCTTTTTTGACACAAGTACTAATTAATTATGTTAGATGGTAATTATTATAGACGATTTCACTTGCAAGGCAATAAAGTAACGTTAAAATAAATGTTGCTTCGATTAATTGTTTTCGAGTCCATGGTTTAGATCATTCATAATTTTTAACCGTTTTCAAATTCATCGAATTTCTCTTTATCATTTTAGACGTCTGCTTGATTATTTTTCTTCGTATCTTAGGTGTCTTTGTCGAAAAAAATAGCTTAGAAGAAGATGCAAGGTAATTTTTCATGTCAGTAATATTGATTCAGGCTTTTACTTTGCATGTTGTCGAAAAAAACTCAGACATAGAATCATTACAGAATCGCAAAATTTTATCATGTTGAGTAGTTTTATGAGATACTAGAACAATGACAACTTAACTTCATTATTTTACTGTCGTGTAATCTTTACTTTTTTTTCGCTCTTTCAGAAAATGTTATTCAATTATATTCTTCATCTACATGCCTTCAAAGAAAACTCTAAAAGATAGTTATTTGTTTAAAGACTATTTTTATATTCAAATTGACCAATCTGTTTTACTGCACAAATCGACGTGCCATTTTTTCATGTGTATGCTGACTTAATTCATTTTAAATTGGCATTAAAATGGTCATTCAATGTTCAGTTTTCATCAACACATCAAAAACTACCATCTTTTTTAATCCCTTTTATTAAGGAACGATATCAATTTTCGTATTATACTCCTCATCATTTGCATTTTTTCCTATGACCTTATTGTGTTTGTTCACATTCTTGAGAGACTGTATCAATGTCGGATATTCACAAGAAATACGATAAAGATTTGTTTCTGACTTTCAAACTTCGATGCGCATAAATATAAAATGGCTTAATAAGATGAAACGAGAAGCATATCATTAAATTAGTTACTCAATTTATTAGGAAATTTGCGAATAGATTAATTGTTCTAGCTAATACAATTATCATTAATGTATTTCTTGCTTCAATGTATCGGTTTTGTACACGAAGGTGTCTGATTTAAAGAGCACTCTACATAGTAGCGATTTCAGAGTAAGTTTACCTAACTTGTAGTACTCAATGAAAAATACTTCAAAGCTTGATGAATGAAAAGGGAAACTTTGCGGTCATTTTATTTCACATTAAACTTCTTGTTAATCTCATTGTTAACTAATAATGCTACGACATAAATGACAATTTCTCTTTTGATAAAGAAATCCTATTAGCCTTCGTTACATTACTTATTGAACGAATAGTGCATTATAACTTCATTATTTACTTGTAATTTAAACATGCTTATCAAATCTATCATAGTTAAGAATTATGAGATGCTATTAATAGTACTCTATTCAAAAGTGTCAATCAAAGTTCCGATACTGAAAATTTCGTGTACAATCACATTGTGAAGATCGATAGTTGTTGAAAATAGACGAATCAAATGAGCCTTGTAGTCTAATTATATTCAAATAATAAAACACCATAAAAATACGAAATAAAATACTTGTTACACAAAATAAAGAATGGTATTCATCTAAACTAAAAGTATTCTTTTTTTTGTTTTTATGAATGACTATGCTGTTGATTGATATAGGTATTCATTGTGGTGTTGATGTTTCATTGCTTCTCGACATGCATTTGCTTTAGCTATTTTCTTGCTTAATCCGCGTCCTTCGACTTTAGCACCATCGAGCATTTGAACAATACATACTGCCATTGGTTTATCACCATCCTTGTCTGTAGACTCTCTACAACTAATGAGTGAATGCAAGAGCTTGCTAGTCAAAGCGGTACATACTCGATTACTTTACCACCATGTTCTGAAAATGATCTTATTGGATTCAAATTAGGTTGACTAATCGATCGATCTAAGTTATACAAAAACATATATATATTAATCGATTTATTTTCAAACAATTATACCGAGATATTTTCGAAGTAAAGGTTCAATTACTTGCCAGACGGTTTCTAAAGAATTACCAGAGTCAATAAAGATAGCACCCACAAGTGCTTCGAATACGTCAGCCAGAGCTTTGGGCGCTGTTGAATCAGCCCATCGATCAAGATTCTATAAACAAATCGAAATTAGTTTAATAGTTGTTTCCTTAGTTTAGAGTACATTCGAAATAAAATTAAAATACTACTAATAAAAAAATTTATGATACAAAATTACAAGAGAAGATCAATGTAAACTGAATATGAGCTTTGAAAATATTCCAAATCTAATATATGTATAATCAATAACAGATTTACAATATGATCCATATTCTGAAGGCTACAAAGGTAATAACTTTTATGGAAATGATGTTAACTTAAAAGATCATCAAATAAAACACGAAGGATTTGCTTTTTCGTGACTCGATGACTTTGCTTAAAGACATATCTGAACTCTGTGGACTTAGGACGTAAAATCTATAACACAATATGTTCTGTCTCAATTTTAATACTTTCACATTCTTCCATAGTTAACTTGAGATCTCTGTATTTCCAAGAAAGAAACATCCTTTTCGTTTTTCTCTCTTTGACATTAATACAGCAAAATGGAATAAAGATTTGTCCCTTTACTTTATTTAAATATTGGTCCGTTGATTGATTTTTTGGAAAGAAATCTTCATTACCAACATACGAAGAAATCTCATCAAATAATTCAGGTGAATTATGAAGAATCTTTGTATGAAAACTGCAAGCAACTAAAATATAGGCAAGTCGATCATTGTTCAATAGATCTTGACGAATGTCTGTCACTCGACCTAAACGAAAAAGACGACAATTTTTGATTATTATCAATAGAATAATATTACTGACCAGGTGTTATAATTTTATTATAATTGACGAAAATATGACGCGTGACTAAAAATTCAAGTATAGCGTCACCAAGAAACTCTAATCTATAAAACACAAAAGAATGATGACTGTAGATTTTATTTCCATTTGGATTCTATACCGTTCATAACAATCTGCTATACGATTAGCAGAATTTGATGTATGAGTAAATGCGGCAATAAGATATGCTTTATTTTGAAAGACGTATTGAATTTTTGTTTCAATTTAATTAAATGCTTGATCAAGAAAAAACTTATTGATTATCTCATCATTTTGAACTTGATTGTTTGAATCTGTATTTGAACGAAGAACTGATGGTAGTTCCATTATATTTCCTAAGAATATATAAAATTACTATTGGCTCTATTTATTAATAGGATTTTTCTCACCTTGTTCATTGACTGGAACAACATCAATACCCAGCCAATGTATAAATTTAATTGTCGTTGTATAATTACTTGAAATAAGAAAAGCACCAATAAATGCTTCTATCATATCACTGAAAGCTTTCTTTTTTGCATTTTGTTGATAATATCGTTGTTTTAATGTTAAATTAGCCTCATCGATTACATATCCAGGTGGTAACCAATTAGCATCTTTACCTCGAAAAATAACTCTATTAACATTTAAATAATTTTTAAGATGTCTCTGCATTGCTAATCGATAAAGATTTTCATTTGAAATTTGTTTACTTCTTGTTGCTGTCAATAAACCAGAATCGGCCGAAGGATGACGATAATATAATGACATTGAAACTGCTAATTTAAGAAAAGAATCACCAAGAACTTCGAAATTTTCATTATCCATTTGTTCATCTGTAGAACGTCGTGTTATTGCTTGAAAAAGAATATCAGGAGAAGGTTGTTGTTCATTTATCAATGTATTCTCCATGTTTAATGAGTCATATGTGAGCGATGTCAATGGAAGTAAAGGTCGTTGAGTCTAAAAATGTTCCGTTACTGAATGATTATTTAAAAATATGAATAAATATTTTTAAAATAATTATTCATTTTTTAATTCGAAAAAAATCTGATTAAAGCCCATTTCCACAGTAAAATACAATCGTTTGCTAGAATATACTACAGAACCGCGATCATAGAACATATTACATAGTCGAATAAGAGTTACAGCCAAGTTTAATTCTAGACTTCACGTATTTTTTTGCTTGAACTGTAGCTAAATACTATTGATCTACTCTTATGCGTTTTTATATGAGATTCAAATTTGCATTTATCAAGCTATGGTCATTGAATACAAGAAATGGAACTGAAGTATTTACTTTTTGAAGGAGCAATGTTCATGCTATTGGTCGATATAGAATTTTCCCTGGCTTACACTCCGAAATGTATACTTTGATCTGATCAGAGAAAGAAAACGCTCTGTTTCTCTCGTTAGTTGAATTCAATAATTTTAGTTCACATGGTGGTCTTCAAAGTGACAATCTTTATGATTATTTAAAATTTCTACATTCAAAACTCGTCAATACTATGTGAATTTTTCGATTACAACTTGAGCTTTAAGGTACAAATGATGCAGAGATCTATTTTTTTTCTCGATTAGACATCTCAAAAGTTATGAATTTTGAAGATTTGTCAGAATATAATTAATAAAAGGTACTTAATACTTACAACGAAGAGATTCGTGATGGGAGACGGCTCTATTATCTTAAGACAATCGTTGAAATCAACAGTCCTTCGCATTTGTTTTGCATTCATCAACTGTATATAAAAATAAGAATATTCGAAGCAAAACAACTCAATTAAGGTTCTCCTACTGTATAACTTTTAATTTCAGAAGCAAATACTATTCGCAATTGTTCAATCCAATATAATTGAGTAAGACGTACAAGAATGCTTGGTAACTTATGGAATAGTTTCAAATCAGCTTGATTTACTGGACCATAATGAAGCAGTTCTATAGGATAGTGAATACATTGATCACTCAAATCGTTTGTAGAATTTTTAGCTGCTTTTGTTTCTGTTGGTATTCGATGAAGATAGTTTATTCGAGGATGGCTTATAGCTTTCACTGTTGCCATTAAAGAATCTCGATCAATACAAACATTTGGTAATTTATATTCGAAATAATCAGCATAAGTTTTAATTGTTTCTAGTTTCGTTTTGAAGGTCCATAAATCAGAAGTTCGTTTTAATAAAGCACTATCTGGCATATTAATATATAATTGTTTATTCTGTAGATGCCAAGCAACATAAACTTCATCATCAGATAGTTGAGAATGGTGTTCAACAGGTTTATTCAATCGATTACATATTGACAACATTCTTTCACAATCGATTTCATCATAATCTATCAAATACATAATTCAATGGCAGATACATAGAAGATTTTCTTTTCTTTTTTTTTGACCTACTTGTCAATAAACATGGAAGCAGTCTAAATGATGAACTATCAATATTAAAGTTAAGAATCGTCTGTGAATTATTCACTATTCCATCAAAGACATTCTCAAATAAATATTTACAAAAACATTTAATTTCATTTTTATATTTCGTGTAATCGATTGTTTTCACGTAAGTTATATCTATGGTTAGTATTTCATTATCAGCATCATAGAGATTGAAATTCGGTAACTGAAAATGCAAGTGAATTTATAAACACAAGCCATATATATATATATATATTAGATATAGTACTTCAATTAGTTTTGATGGAACAATAAAGCCGAGTTTGTCTTCCTCTGTGCCAATATTAATTTGATATAAATGCCAGTTGTTCGATAAATCAGTAGATAGTTGTGGAAATAAAGTAATCTAAATATATGAACGATGCATTTTAGATAATGCAGATTAATTTTTCTTTGTATCTTTAATAGACCTGTCTTTCGAATATTTCCATATTATTATCATTTTTATTGTCAAATAATTCATTACATAAATTGAATAGTTGATGTTCAATTGAAATATCGTTCGTTACCAATGATCGAGCTTGGGACGAAAAATAATCTTCATTTAATTCTTCTGAAAGATTCAAAATCACTCTGTTCTCACACAACTCAAAAATCTTTACTAACTTTGTTGTTGAAATAATTCCACCATTTTTAAACAATACTCAAATTTAGCCAATTTTTGCTCTTGTTTTCACACTAAATAAAAAAAATATTCATATTTGAAAATAATTAAGGATACATATTGTTAATTGGTATATGAACATAACAAATAAAAATTATAATGAAACAGGTTAAATAATTTATAAATATAAGTCATAGATGTTCCTATGCATATTTTTCATGTCGTTAAATGTTGCTAATAGATTTTGTGTCAGAGTCGTCATATGCTAACAAAAGTTCTTCTTCAAATGATACAAACTTTTCAGCTAGGTGATTATCATGCATAGGGTTTAGTTTATTTGTTGACTCAATTCGATGTACAAGTCGACATTATAACTGTTTAAAAGAGCTCGAAAAAAGTATTCCTCTACTCATCTAACTTCAATGTTCTCTGTTGTAAGTTCATAGCTATGAATTTTTCTATTTTCAGTCAAGAGAATGTATATATACAACATTTTTATACAAAGGTATTCTATGCTCAGTCTGGAAATATCTGAATGGATTTTTTATCATTCTGAAAATTTTCCCAGTACATCAAATGTCAAGTGATGTAATAACGTCACTGGAAAAAAAAAGAACTTTGGTAGTAATGACAACCTTGTAAGTCACATACATCGACAAATTGATACTCAAATTTGTCAAACGATAAAGAAGAATCGAAATGAAAGTTGGAAAGAAATCAATTTTATAAATTAGAATATTCGTTGTAAATGACATTTGAGTATGTTCCGCTGGCAAAAAAAAACAAGTACAAAGAAAATCATGCCGTATGGTTATTTTGTCATTCCTTCTGTTTTTTTTAAATGAATCATCTAAAAGGGCTCGACTTGGTAATCAAAATATGAAATCACATCAAATCGAAATAAAACTTCATCATCAAATAGATCAGTTAAAATCATATTAGAAAGCTTCAAGAGACGAAATATCAAAATTTTCATCATTGATTAATCATCAATACAACGGATTTTATCGCTGACAAATATTAATAGAAATTGAAACAGAATGAGATGTAAATGTGAATGTAGAAGACAAATGTAAACACCTACACCAACAATCACAAACACAATCAAACCTTTTTTTCGTCTAAATTCAACCAATCAATGAAATCCTAATCGATGTTTTCATCAAAACGAGTGAATAATACCATAAAACAAATGGTTGGCCGTAAAAATGTCGAAAGGAAAAATATCGAAGGGGAAAAATGTCGAAAAAATAATATCGACAGGAAAAATGATTGATACATGTTTTGAAGAATTGTGAACAGTAAAGAATGTTTCATAACATGACTTAATGTTAATATTATAACAGTGCTCACTGAAAAAAGTCAGATTATATCTGATTTTGTGAGATTATCATTGGATTCTTCTGCAAAAGAAAATTCAAATTATAATCGATTGAAATTTTCCAAAATCACATATAATCTGATTTTTAATCAAAAATAATTCTCCGAAATCAAGAATACTTTCAATTTTAATCAAAATTTTACTTGATTTCAAAAAGCTCTTTTTAATCCGAAATAATCATCAAAATCAAGTCAAATCTTGATTAAAGTCGAATATCATTTGATTAAAATCGAAAATATTCTTGATTTCGAAGAATTATTTTTGATTGAAAATCAGATTACATGTGATTTTGCAAAACTTCAATCGATTATAACTTGGATTTTTTTGCAGAAAAATCCAATGATAATCTCACAAAATCAGATATAATCTGACTTTTTTCAGTGGGTGACCAAATACAGATAATGGAAAAAATTGATTTATCTTTTTTTTCTACTTAACAGCTATAGGTTGTTGTTTCGTTTAGTTTGAAAACATAGCCATCTGCAACGAGTAAAGATTTTCATTTATTTGAACTTATAAATGAAATAACTAGAGATATTGATCTGGTTAAGTCAGTTTAAGATCCAGCAGTTCCAATCATGACAGTAGAATTTTAGTTAATATAACAGTTCTTCGTTTAACTCTCTTAATTTTTAACAGGTATTAGCCATCGAAATTACGACTGGTTAAACTTCTATACCATTAGAATTATAAGAAAAAACAACAATGAATTAGACATGGTTAGAGTCGCAATCTATTGGAGACATCATTTTTTTCGATATTTTCCTGTTACAACATTCTTCTACTCCCATATTTACTTTTCGACATTTCTCCTCTTCTATGTTTCTTCTTTCGACATTTGTCCCTTTCGACATTTTTCCTTTTCGATATTTTTCCTCTTCGTCATTTTTCCTTTCGACATTTTCCCAGCATACCAAACAAATTTCCTATTCGTATTAAAAACGATTGGTTTTATCATGAAAATAAAATGATATTGTGTAGTACACTTATTTTATCATTTGATTCCCAGTTATGATGAATTTTATCCATCGATACGAAGAAACTATTTTTCTTCATTATACAAGTTTCATACTGGGAAAATCGGATATAAGATGGCTGCCATCATAAAGAGATAGTTATTCAAATAGCATAAGTTATTCTTATTACTATAGTATCAATCAAAATCAGTGGCGTAGCGAAGGGAGGGGCAAATGAGCAATTGTCCATTTCATTTGGAGACTTATCAATTGTAAGTTTTGTTAATAAGCCTTTGCCTATTGAAATTTTACTTTTTCAAAATCGTTTATTTATTTTTGGATGAAATACTGTTTGTATTTGTTTTGTCGCTCTAAATCACATATGCACTCTATGCTTTTTTCTTTCCATAAAGAATTAAGGAAAGAAGAAAAAAAGAATCACTCCATGTATTTTTACAGTAAAATAGGTGAACATAAGATAAATTTTCTGGAGAAAACACTAAACATAAAAAGTTAGAAAATAATAGATGAAAGAGAAGAGAAACAGAACGTATAGAAGCATATAAATGTGGCCAATCAGCTTGATATCCTAAGATTTATTTGCTCATGTACCTGGTATCAGTTATCATCAAAATGTGAATTTTTTACAGTTACAGTATACAGATAATGTTGATGAATGGTTATTATTTGAGCTGTATGTCCTAATAAGAACGAGAGTTTCCCATTGTTTTTTATATCCAGTTTTTTAGAAGAACTCTATGCCAGATTTTTACACTATCATCGATTTCTGTTAAAATATTTCAAACAACACGAGGTATCAAAAACAAATATTTTTTACTATGTAGATAATTTGTAACTATATCAAATGTAAAATGTTGTACGCTGATAAATGAAATATTCAGCCAGTTGTAGAGTACATAGAATAGAAGCGTATTTGCAATTTTAATAAAGCTGGTGAAAGTCATTAATAGGTTCTTTATAAGCAAAGCTCAAGTAATAAAGAATTGAGAAGTATAGAGCATCGTACTTCAAGTATAGTTGCAAATAAACGAAATAGTAATAAAACTTTGTTATTGATACCTTATGTTGTTTGAAACGCTTTAGTTAAAATCGATGTACACTCTTATACATCAATATTCTCCATCTGTAATTTTTGCGCTAACTATTATAATTTGCATGAAATTTATTACCAAGTAATGAAATAATATGAGAGGTTTATTGCAGCGTGATCTGTATACCATACTGCAATAAAATTCTCATGTTATATCTTTACTTGGCAATAAATTTCATGCAAAGTGTGATAGCATAAAAATACAGAGTAGGAAAGACTTTTGTCCAAAGATGTATTATATGTCCATACAGGGACTCATGATCTCGATCATGCTTGATAGAAGTAAGAGATCATTTCAAAACATCCTATATGACCCAGTTCTGCGAGCTGAACACGAAACTGAAGTCGATTTTCATGATTTCTGCAGAAATTCTATGACTTTAGGAGAAATGTCCTATAGCCAGTATATAGGATAAACCACAGTATGGTCCATGCTAACTTGGTTCCTCTCCGGTCTTTTGAACTTGACAATGTAATGTCAAGAGATGTATCTTGGTGAAATCTATGTCTAGCGAAAAGAAAACTCTAGAACCTTGTACGGCACATGAGAAAAGTTCAAAACATCTCCTTTTGGAGCAAGGCATTTCTCGCAGTTTGAACAGGTTTTGACCTCTAGCGTTTTTATTAGCTTGTATGTCTAGGATTTGTACCGGATAAAGTTGTAGCCTTCATTGCTCTCTATAAAATGAGACGCTTCCAAGCTCAAATGGTCGAGCTATTTGTGAAATAATGTCAAAATACTAAACGTATTTTCAAAATAGCAGTCGCTGAAGCCAAAAATGATCCCTTAAACTTGTTTCAGCTTGCATTTTTCATAGGTAAAACCAATGCTTCAATGTTTGGATTTGTTTATGGATTGCCTAGATCTTTCGTTTGGGATTTCAAAAAAAAATCGAAATGCTTTCTCCGGAGACCTTCGCATTGAGTAGTAGCTCCTCTTGCAGATTCTCTCTTAAAAATATCTAAAACACATCTAAATTAGGCTTAAACTTTGAGTTTGATGCATATCTGGTTAAAAGAGGCTCATTTTTTTGTGTTTTTTTAACGTTATTAATACTTTTTGACCCAAGAGAAATTTTGGCCGATCAATAAAAGCCTTGCCCATCATTTTTTTTCAAACATTAGATAAGTTTGTCCATTGGTCTAAAAATTCTGGATATGCCACTGATCGAAGTCTCAACTCAAAGACAAAATAAACTTCATTTATAACATAAAACTAAACTATTCCTTTTCTATGCGAAAAAATATCTGAGCTTTAAAACTGTGCATAAAATTGATTTAGATTATGATATAGTGCTAAACTTTGTTTTTCTTATTATGGAATTTTTTGAAGTTCAAAATTCATGTTTGGATGAAGTTAACGAAAAAAAATGGAACAGATTTATTCTATAAATGTTGTAAAATCGTTAACGGAGCATGTAAAATAGAAGAATCAATACCAAACGAATGAATCTCAAGAACAAAGCGCAACGACGAATTAAAGCTATAATAATGGTATGCTCGGACAAAATAAGTTTTCATATAGACATCTTTGAATGGACAAGTAGCGTATTGTACGCCATATTATTTCTAGATTAGAAAGAACACATTTTATTCATTTATTACATGGAAATTCAATATTCTAAGATTTCTAATACACTTTTTGAATTCCATAAAAATGGTTAGTATCGCTCTGAAGAAGAATACTTCTATTTTTTATTCACAAATTAGGCATGTAACAATACATAAAGTATTAAAAATGCAAATGTTGCATGAACAAATACTTCAATGAAATATAAAAGATCAATTCAACGATTGAAGAGGAAACCTAAATGATACTTGAAAAATATTAAATACTTCTTGAAGTACGTATAACAACAATCAGTTGAACAATTTTCTCACAAGGACGTTATGAATGAATGCTTTAAACTTTACATATACTAGGTTAATAATAGTTTCAATTATTTTTTAATCTCATTATCCGTCATTAGCAAATTTTCCATTAACAATGACACTTTTTAATGAATTTCTAAATCAAAGTGCTGAATTAACTTAGTGTCACTATCTGAACATTATGAACATGACAGGAAATAATCGTCAGAGCAGGATTCTTTCAGACTTTGGGTAAATTAAAGGATTTATTTGAAGGATAATATTTGATTGCGGTTAGTTTTTTTGTTCGAATCGCAATAAACTGATGAAAATGTACATATCAATGGAAACAACTGCATTTGACATTTCTAATAGAAAAAGAAATGTTAACTTTTCGAGAACACTCTTAAAAGAAGAGATAAATATATATATTGATAAGAATAATCTATTATTATTTTATTAAAATTATAAGAAAAGCATCATAACATTCTTTTCTAATCAACAAACAAAATAGAAATTCCAATATGTCTATTCTTCAAGTAGCTTTACAGTTGAGCTATTGGGGACCGATCGTACTCTTCTCTATCGGTATGCCAGCGGCCTTGTTTAATATGATTATCTTCATTGGAATCAAAACATTTCGTCATTCTCCGACTGCTTATTATGTTGTTGGTCAATCTATAGCAGATATGGGTGCTCTGTCACTTGTTTTTTTACAACATATATCAGTAATATCGGTTTCTGACTCCTCAGTTGCCTGCAAATTGATAGTGTACTTGGCTCAGATAACTGTGTCTACAGCCATGAGTTTTCTTTGCTTAGCAGCATTCGATCGCTGGGCATGTACATCTCAATCAGCTCGTATTCGTCAACTCAGTTCGACTTATGTAAGTCTTTGGCTCTTTCCAATTCCTTTTATTTTCTGGTCACTCTTCAATCTTCCATGTCTCATATATATGGATCTAATATCACCTACTTTCACTTGTTGGTTCACCAATGATCTCTTCGAAAAGGTTACCAGCTATTTTCTTGGACCAATTGTTCCTATCATTCTTCCTCTTATCATTCTCAGCATATTCGGTATTCTAACATATCGACATATTTGTCTTCTCAAACAGGTTCGACAACAACCTGTTCAAACTCGAACACATATGTGGGAACAACAAATGACACGAATGATGTTTGCTCAAACTGTGTCATGTATCATATGTACACTACCTCGAGCGATCTATATCATTTACTCAATAGCTACACTTGATGAACGTGCAACACGAAGCTTTGATCGATTATGCATAGAATTACTTGTCGAATATCTCACTGTCTTTATTATGACTATGAATTTTACATCGTCTTTCTACATCTTTCTTCTATCGTCACCACGACTTCGACAAACAATTATGTTGAATGTGAAACATTTGTTACATGTGCGACATAATAACATCGCTCCTTCAAACATAAATCAATTTGAACCATCACTGGTTACGCACAAAATTGAAAAAAACAACATTAAAACAAATCTTAAGGCGAAAAATATCGGACAAAATTAGTCAATGATAAGTTTTGTAGTGAAGAAAATTTTTGCTTTTACAAGAGTTTTATGTAAAATCTTAATTAAAAGAATAGAAGTATTTATAGAAATTCTTTTGTTAATATATTTTGACAACACCATAGTTTTCACCTATTCGAATTTCTATATTACTTTGTTAATTAGAACTCATTTCACATGAACCGTCGCTTCTGTGAAATGATGGTCTTCTCTAGGTCTCTCTATTTCATGAAATAGTAGTTCATTCTAAATTTTGTAAATTCTTTTGAGCTCATGAACAGGACATGCTCTATCGATGTCAATTTTCAATTCTATTAGTCATTGCATTTAAATATTCAAAGATTATGTATCGAGACAATAATATGAAATAACTATGTTGATATCTTAACATCGATAACAAATCTTTTACACTAAATTTAATGTGTCGAGAGATTCAATGCATCGTATTTCTTTCTATTTTGAATACATACAAGATCTCAAACAGGACTAGAATTAAGATAGAGAACAAGAAGCATATGCACACACTCACATTCAAAAGTGATCAATATATTGAAGGTTCGAACGAGAGTACTACATAAACAACAAATCAACTAAATTACTAAGATGAAATTACTGCCAGATAAGATTTTTAATCAATCACTTACCAACAATATATTTCTTTTTTTTTCGAATGGACTGTAACTCGAGTATCAGTTATTTTATGTGGTAAACCTAGCTTAAATAAGATATTAGCTGTCGAAGTTATATTAAATAATCGAAAAGGAATAAAAACCCCATGAAATACTCTTTCAAACATGATTCGAGCTGTTTCCTATCTTAGAAACATGTTATGAGATTATTAGAACCTGTTCATAAATTGGAATATTCCACTAGCAATCGTCGTTGATAAAGTTGGTCTTGCTGAACTATCTTCAAACAACTCATTAAAAATGTTTCAGAGTAAATTAGAAATAGGAAAATATAAACATGATCTCATTAATATATCGAATTAATGTCTTGACACAACAAAAATTAGTCAAATATAATATTCAGCTTCTATCAATTCAAAATGTCGATAATTTACAATTCGTAACAGAAACTGTTTCATGTTCACTAGCTTTCAAAGGTAATCGAAATAGTTAATCGATAAGTTAGTCATCGGAAATCTCGCTATTATCTATTCGTTTTTAATTATAAACATATTAATGAACAACCTAAATATAAAAATTATTTTGGTTTATATGTGTGACTTTGTCTTTGACCAAAAAAGTCTTAAATAATTTAAAATGTTCATCAACAGAGCAACAATCTATGTCAAATTATTACTCAAACTATACTTTGGAAAAATTCTGAATTATATTGTTCTAAATAATATTTATATTATATTCTTATATTGACGCTAAGAACCTTATGTAACTCAGACAACACAGAAAAAAAATGAAACTTGTTAAGTGCCGAATGTGAAGACGTTGGACAACGTGAGTTTTTTTTTCACGAAACAAAGACAATTGTTTCATACAAAAGAGTTGGTGAAATGAATCCGTACAAACAGACAAATTCAATTTTTAATGATATGTACTTTTTGAAAGATTGAATTGTTATTGAAATTAGTATGATCGTTTGCTTGCAGAATTTTTCATTCAAGTTAATTGATTTTAGTAATATTTATTTTTTTTTTTTGTAAATTCATGATGTTATTCCTTGCTTTATAATCTATTACATTGATTACTGCTCAGAAAAATCGTTCTCATGCACATTAAACAAATATTCTTTTTTTTTTAAACGGAAATAGGATGTGTATAACCAACTGAGAAGTATTTCTGTAGAAAAAATGCAAGGGGAAAATTGAGAACTTTTGGACTTGAAGTTACTTTGAGCTACTTCAAGTAGTCTAATTTGACGTACTTTTTTACTTCGAGTCCGATGTTTTCTCCTTGAAAGAATAAGAAATGAGTTAGACACTTTAGTTCACATAATATTCCTTATCTTTCCTTTATTCCGTCTAAGATAAAATAGTTACATGAATAATCGATCTAGTGTCATCAACTCTATTATTTTTTTTTCTGTTTTTTCTACGTACGATAACGAAGAGTTGTTACTTTGAATTTATTGTATTGATAGACTCATAACGAGAGAAGAGTTTTTTTTAATAGTAATTGTTCTCTTCAAAAAAAAAATCTTTGAATATACACATTAGTCAAATAGCTATTCACACAAGTTACTTCCGGTCATGATAAGATAAGCGAATTTAACAAGATAAAGAGATAGTTCAATTCTTCACAATGGCTGGAGAAGCACTTAAGACTAAATTTTCTTATTATTTTAACTCTATTTGTACCTAATATCAATCTGTCTATCAGTATACAATTAGAATGATGTTAAAATAATTAGAAAATATAATCATAACTATATTCTAATTGTTGCCATGTAAAAAGTGATAAATTATTTTTCAAAAAACATAAGAATAATTGATCTTTACGAAAGTGAAAAGAAAAGCAATAATGTGTAGCATGAACATCATCCATCTTGCAAAGGAGTAGAGTACGATGTAATCATCACCAGTATAAAATTTAATTCTTTAAACAACAACGAAAACGAAATGATGAAAATATAAAAACATAGAATCGTTCCTGAAAGCACATGACAAAAAAAATGGCCAAAATATTTGAAAAACACTTATTCTTGAGACAATTAAACAGAAAAGATCATTGATATTAGAAATTAAGACAGCCTTCAGTTTTTAATCCGTATTTTGCTGAACCGTTTTTATTCTAACTGCGTAAGTTGTATTAATATCGAATAGACAAAGATCTATTAAGGGTGTGGGTGTGGGTGTTGGTGTGGCTGTGGGTGTGGGTGTGGGTGTGAGTGAGCACAAAATCGACGCCCATGTCCACATCCACACCACCACCCATACCCACACACACACCCCACGCCTACACCCACACCGCACACTGCACACCCCACACCCATACAAACCCACACCCTTTTTCGCTTCACTATATTATTTCTTCTAAATCGTTCGATTTTGACAATCTGAGCAGCCTTGATAATGAGAGATAGAAAATTCAGATAATGTTCATAATATTGTTGATCGCTTAATAAATATACACAATTCTAACGCTCGTTGTGTAACAGTAGCTCTTACTGAATTCCTTGTTAAGATATGGATTGAATTCTGTATAACTGCGTCTTAGCTGGTTCCTTTTACCTTAAATGTCAGGAAACCGTATCTCATATACACCAACACAAATATTATTTGTTATTTTGTTTTCGATAAAGCACTATATTCCATCAGATTGACATTACTTGTATCGATGCAACAACTTGCAGGAGAAAGACAATAGAAATATATACCTTTAATTAGTACTATCATTTTCAATCATGGGTATCTGAATGAAGTGCTTCAGATAGATTATGAATCGAACAATTAAAATAGAAAATGGATTTCTCATCAAATGTATATATTTTGATATAGATGTTCAAAAATAGAGGAAAATGTTTTTTTCATAGATTCGGAAAATTGTTTCATCTTTTTAAATTATTAAAAAAGACTAAATGCTTTAGAGTTTTAAAAGTTTCATTGAAAGATATATAAAAGAAATGGGGAGAAGAGGGTGGGAGTGGGTGTGGGTGTAGATAAAAAGAAACTTCATAATTTACACCCAAACGCACTCACCCACACCCACGGGCCTGCCTCACAACCATACCCACACAGCCACACACCCACAGCCGAAACAACTGAAAAATATCGGAACCGTTCACATTTAAATGTATTAATTAAATTCAACTTTCGACTTAATCCATGGTCGAAAATCAAAAACTGAAACTAACAAATTTGAATTATCTTTTCTTCAACAGTTCAATCAATATGCTTCAATAAGTTTATCGACACGTCAAAAGAAAATACATGTTTCATTAAAGAAGAAAAACTATAAATAGGTAAATATATAAATATTATGCGAAGAAAAACTACAGTAAAAATGATTTGGTCTTTCTATGTGAAGAAATATGAAAATTAGAAGTAAGTTGCTTCTAAATTAAGAAGTAATTAGTAAAAATAAAGGAATAAGAATAAAAATGTGTACAGTTTTATCGAGTTCAATCACATTTAACCTTGGATGCATGTAAATTTTTGTATTCTGTTATTGTTTGTGTCAGCCACGTATAAATTACCTTGAGAGTCGACTTTAACAGCAGAAGGACCACGTAATGAAGAGGAATCAGTAGCAGGTAGTCCAGCTAGACCTGCAATTGTGATACCATTAGTTTCACCAGCCTTAAACAACTGTATACGATTGTTTCCAGTATCGGACACATACAAATTATTAGCAGCATCAAGTGTTACACCAGTAGGAGAATTTAGTAATGCTGCTGTAGCACCAGCCGCTCCGGCAGCACTACCTGCAAGAACTGCTCGTGTAGTAGCTCCAATGACCCAACGGACGATATTGTTACTGCCACTGTTAGTGATTATTAAACTATTTGATGTTGAATCAAAAAAGATACCACGTGGATCATTCAACTGATTGTTGGCATTTCCTGCTCCATTACCGCCGGCAACGACAGTACCAACTGCTGCATTTTGTGCGTATTGTATCACGCGATTATTTCCAGAATCACTGATGTAAAATACTTTTGAAGTAGGATTACGTGCAATACCAAATGGGCCATTAAACTGATTGGTTGCTTCCCCAAGTCCTCCTGAAAGCATACTCATATTTTAATAAAACAACAATACTTAAGGAAATTTTTGCTATGAATTTCTTTCACCGAATATGATTTCATTTTTATGAGAGAGTACCCGTGTAGCCCCGATTGTTCAAGCAATAGGGGTAATGCGGAGCTACACTCAGTCGACAAATGAGTTATCATGAGTAAATGTAGAAGCTACTTTGATATATTATGGCTTGCTTATATATCTATTTAAAAAGCATTTAAAACGTCTGATATATTTGCTTTTGAACTGAAAAGTTATTTTGCAGAGTCCGAAGCAATGTTAAGAAACATTTTTTCAAATTATTGAAAGTTTGTGTAAGGAAAGCATAGTAATGAAAAGCATAATAAATATATTTTCAGAAGTAATTGAATGTTACAATCAGAACGCTTGGTATTTGTCATTTAATCCGATGAAAATTTATTCAAGCAAGAAGTTCTTGCAAACTATCATACAACAATAAGTTCTTTCGTGTCTATAAAGATCTTCAGTTTTGAAACTCATGCGAATCTTTGTCTTAGAACTATCAACATGTGTTTTATATATAAGAATGCATAGATAGCATCATCAATGATGTTAACTATCGGAGACAGGTTTTGAAAACTTTGTCTAGTGGAATTTATATTTGAGAAATGTTATTCGTATAAAATTAGCTGAAAAAAATGCTTCTTTAATATTTATTTTACTGTCTATTATAGGAAATTTTTAAATAATAATTAATTAAACTCAATTTCAGAGAGTAATAATCTACAGAATGTAGACGTTTTTTTATTTTGTACTCAAAGATTTGGAAATTCTTCGATTACTGAACAATTCTCTATCAAAACTAACAATTGTTTGAAATATGATTAATTCTTTAAGCTGAGAAAGTAACTATTCCATTGGTTGACATCTAAACTCAATTTTTGTCGTTGTAAATTCAAATATTAGTTTTATTTTATATTTTTATGTCGAGTATGTCTACACTTCGAGCTAGTGACTGGAAAAGCTTTGAAAATCATTTGAGAGACATAACATATTTTAAGATACACAATAATAATTCACAAAAAAAAGGAGTAACAAGAGAACTCACAGCATGCATACATGAGATATTTTGAATTATAACTACTGTGAGTTTATATTGAATTTTTGGAAGAAAGCAATACTACTACTAAAATCGTTGTCATTGTCTTAGAACTTGATAAAATCGATTCAATAATAACATGTTTCGAGATTTTTCAATCAATCTGATTCGAATGCGCGAAACAGTCAATATTTTTTGTAACTTATATGGATGACTAGCGTTGCAGTATGAATAACTGAAAATTTCAAATCTAATAAAATATCAAACCATTTAGACTAGCTTGTGTCATCATTTAGAGTGCACTAAGAAAGATATTCTCGCAAAGTTTCTACTTATAGAAACCTTAGAAGTTTGAGTTTCAGTGCAGAAAACGCTATTGAGCGAAACTACAAAATTTTATTATTTTAAAAAGATAGCTCAGTTTTGAATGTAACTCTTACAATACTCAAACAATCATTCAGCTAAGATTCAGTGATCTAGTTGAAGATCGAAAATACTTTATTTTATGTTCTTGTATGTATCGTTGAAAACATAAAAAATCTAGTAAACTGCTGGTGATTCAACGTCCTGTGTCCACAAGCACTAGTATTTTAAGAATTTTGTTCTATCATCGGTATAATTTAATGGGCAATGCATGAACTTGAAATTAAGATTTCAGTCAGCAATAAGATATTAGTTTTTCTTTTAATTTAACTAAGGTTTTTTTGCACTATCTATTTTTAAACTGTTTAGTGTCAAGAAACTATAGAAGAAAATTACATTCTGCATTCTTTAGCAGAAAAACAAGACGAGAAGATTGTTTTTCAATCTAATGATAGAAATGAAGATTAGCTGAGATACACATTATATAAATCTAACACCTTTTAAAGAAATCGGCTATTAATTGAAACAAGTCTTCAGTTTCAATGTTTTTTCTATTGTTTGTGATAAATTGACGATTTCGAAGTTATGCTCCGTTAGTCACGAAAAACAACATGATTCTTCTAGACTGAAGTCACATTGATTTCCGTTTACATCTCAAATTATCTTACCTACACCAGCAATATTTGTGCCCTGAATTGCAGTGGATGGCCAGGATTGAACTCGATCATTATTATTATCTACCACAGAGACCGTACTGGTTTCGTCGACAAAGACACCAGTAGGAGCATCAAGCTGCGCTGCACCTGCTCCGGCTACTCCATTTGCTTGACCAGCAACCGTTACACCGGCGGCAGCACCGATTGTCCATCTCACGACTCTGTTATTAATAGTATCAGCGATAGTGATTGTATTGACCGAGTCCAAAAAGACATCAAAAGGACGATTGAGTCGATCAAGTGTAACACCATCAGCACCATTCACAGCACCTGCTATAGTCGTACCGACTGTGTTCCATTGGAGCGAACAGCCAGGAGCTAAAAGAATACCCACGATTTTAATACGAAAGCATAATAGCAGAGCTAAAAGGTATATGAGTTTTGTTCAGTATTCGAAACCTTATGTGTATTTGTGACAAAATTGTCGATTGATATTCGTTAAGATAGGAACGTCTTTCGAGCAATATCAGTTTCTTCCAATGGTATGGCTTCTATTTCATACTATAGAAAATTCTACTTATGATAAAATAGAAATAACGCGTGTTGCTAGTCGATCTTGACATGATTAACATCGACAATAAATCGATGAAACAAACTCACACTTTTTGGGAACAGTCATTCTTTTTATTACACTGATTTCTGCTATAACTATTACTTAATATGTTAATTTTTATTATCTGAAGAAAAATACAAGTTCCAAATATGGAAACTGTCATTCATGAAAGTTACTGAAAATTGACGAACATATGTACGAATAACACTGAAAACATTTAGACCATTTCAAGACATAAATATTTCTGATATAGTTTGCATGAGGTGATCGAACTTATCAGCTTGGTATTTAGTACCCACACAAACACGAGAAAACTCATGGACAGATTAATAGGTATTACATTATAAAGAAAACTCATGAGCAACTACTTCAAAGATTGTAATTCTCACGAAAAACGTTATTGCAGCGATAAATAATCGGTATTACTCACTAACCATTTTTTTCATCATTTACTATCAAAATATTTCTATTACACGGATACTCAGGCATAATTTGATTTTTTGACGTAAGGCATCCACCAGAGTTGAAACATTGAATATTCTTTAAATATTAAATATCACTGGTTGATCAAATGTTAGTTAGAAATCTTATCCCAGAAGAAAATTTTAAAGCACTCAACTCAAACTTTTTTTTCTAACAATGGAACCGTCTGAATTGTTAATCGAGTTGTCTGAGTTTGTTCGGATCAAATTAACACTCTCACTCAAGGGGGAAACAACTGATTTATAATTTTGTGATTTAAGATGAGTTAAGTTGATTTAAGGTGATTTAAGGTGATTTAAAGATGATTTAAGATCATCTAAAATCAATTTTTCAAGTGATTTAACATGATTTACAAATGATTTAACCTTGATTTTCAGGTGATTTAAATCAGTTGTTTCCCCCTTGGGCCAGGCGGTCTGTCATTTTCAAGCTGCCTGCCTGGCCTGTCTTAGGGATCGGCCTGTCACAGGCAGGCAGGCCGACAGGCCTCATGGCCTGTTTGGACCTCTGATAGGGACTCCTTTAATTTTTGTCTTTTTATTCATATTGATTTCGATAAACAATAGAAAAGTTTTACCTAATGAAAAAGATAAATTCACTGACTTATTTGCTTTTTTTAGATATATTAGCACAAATAATGTAGGACTAAAGTTAGTCAATTTGGATTTATATGATTAATGTTTTTTAATAAAATGAAAGTAGATCTTCGGTAGTTCATTTCGATTTTTTTCTTCATTAATCACTACTGTTAATGCACCAGTAAAGATCCCGCAATAGTTCTTATATGAGAAAAAATTGAATCTAAATTAAAATAGAAATTGACTGAAATATGGACCAGTTTATTTTTCGTTTTGCTACTCATAATTATTGTGGAACAAGATAGGAATAATTTGAATCGATTCAAGACAAATAGGATCCAGTTTATTTATTGTTTTTGTTACTGATAACGTGATATTCATAATAAAGAAGCTAAAATCCTTGATTAAGAATTAGATAGCAATAAATGTTACTCGAAGTAAAAAATATACATAGGTCATCTAACTTATTCTGTCTTCTTATTAGTGTGGATTAACGAGAACCTAAAAGAAATTTGAATCTAAACGCGAATATATTTTGTCTAGCTTATTCTTTTTTCTTGGTAGTTTCAGAATCATATTTTCGGAGCAAACATCGTCAAGTAGAACAGAAAGAATGTCAATTGAAATTTGAATAAATACTTGCTAATTTGATTTTCTTTTGTTTTCTTGTTGATTGATTTAGAGAAGGAGAACAAGTATTTTTATTAGAACATAATACATTAAATAACTTTTTTCTCTTGTTGTTGAATTATTATTTGTAATACAGAAATAAAGATTCTCGGTTTGGACTTACGTAGAAGGAATTAATATGGGAGTGGAAATATACATTGATTAGGTCTTTTTTTTACTTGTTCGCAAAGCGATACTCATAATATAGGGATAATGATCTTGAATTCGGAGTTATACAGGTAGAATTTGAATGAGAGTGCCAATAGATATCGACTAACCTATGTTTTTCCTTTTTTATTTTTTTGATGAATTTTAACACATAATGTACCACCAAAGATCATCGATAAAGAAAGGGCTTATATGAGAAGAATGGAAATGAAAGCGGCAATATATATTTCAGTAGTGTTTTTTTTTATTGGTATTGAAGAATTAATACTGTTTAAGTACGAGCAAAGATTCTAAATTTTGATTTTTGAAAATAGAACTTGAATCAAAGTGAAAAAGGATATGCACTAGTTTATCTTTTTTTTTCTTTTTGATGACTTAATAGTGCTAATGCACATACTATAGGGGTCAAGTAGGGATAACATCAAAATTTTTCAAATCAAAGTGGTAATAGATATTGAGTCGCATTTTTTCAATTCTTGTTGATGAAATAATACAAATAAAGTACGAGCAAGGATTCAGAAAACAATGGATTAATAAAAAATAAATGAGCGAAAGTTAAAACGAGTATCGTCTAGCTTATTTCTATATTTTTTCTTTTTGATGATTTTCTACTCATAATGTACGAGCAAAGATCGTGGATTAGAATTTATATGAGAAGAATTTGAATCAAATTGTAAATAGATATTGAGTATCTTATTTCTTTTTTTCTTGTTGATGACTTAATACTTATACTGCAACGTTAATAATCGTCATTCTTGACTTATATGAGATGATTTTGAATCAACATAAAAATAGATATTCACAAGAGGATTTCTTTTTTCTTTTGTTATTGATGAATTAAGACTTATAATGTACGAGGAATGATCGTTAGTTCAAATTTATATCCGTACAATTTGATTTTAAGGAAAAACCAATATTTACTACTTTGGTTTTTTCTTTTGTTATCGATATCTGTTTGAACTAAAGTACGGCTAATTTTAATAGAACGGCAACAAGTGTTAACTATCTTGTTTTTGTCTGCTTTTATTCATGAAATCATGTTCGTAATGTAGAAGCAAAAGTTTATATTACAGAAATATATGACAAGAATGTTACTCGAATTTAAGATAGACATAGAGTAAGTTATTAGTTTTATGTTCTTATTCATAAGGACTACCGATCAAATAAGGGAACTGTAATCAAAACGAAAACAGATATTTACTTGTTTATTTTTTCTTTTTGTTGTTCAGAAGTTAATATTAATAATTTATGACTAATGCCCGTCAATATGGACTTATATTGAAAGAATTTGAAATCAAGAGAAATTATATGTTCAGTACTTCTTCTTTCTTTCGTTATAGATATCGGTTTGGAGTTAGATAAAAGTAGCTTTAATCAACCCAGAGAAATGCTTACTAGCATAGTTTTTTTTCTTCTTTTTGATAAAGTGATGCTCGTAATGTGGGAACAAAAGGACCGTCCGTGAAGACTTAGGCGACAAGAATATTATTTGAAGAAAAGATAAATATAGACTAATTTATTTCTTTTGTTTTGTTGTTAATGTCGATTTGAGGTCAAATAGGAATCATTAGAATTAACATGGAAATAGATATTGAGAAGTTCACTTTTTGTTTTCTTATCGGTGCCCTAGTACGCACAATAGATTAACAGAGATTGCGTGTTTGGAGTTATGTGAAGAGTTTCACTATATACGAAAGTAAATATTAAATATAGTTTAATTTTTCTTTTTTGTTCTTGATATGGATTTGATATAAAATTGGTGGTGACCGAATCAAAATGAAAATAGTTATTTGCCAATGCAGTTATTTTTCTTTTGTTGATGATTAAAGACTCATAATGGAAGTGCAACGGTTGTCAGTTAGTACTTGTATTTGAGGAATTTGAATCACAGTGGAAGCAGATATCTACTAGCATAACTTTCTTTTTGTTATTGGTGAATTAGTTCGGTTAAGATACAAAAGAGGATTCTCAATTGAGATATATATCGACTAGATTTTATGTTGTGTTTTATTATTGAGATTGATTATGGATACGATAAGAGGAATTTAAATCACAGAGAAAATAGATATTGACTAGCTAACTTCTTTCCTTCTACTGTTGAGAAATTGATGTTCATAATACACGAAAACAATTTGTTAACTTGGGCTTATATGAGTATAGTTTCAATACAAGTGAAATTAGATATTAAGTACTTCAATTTAGTTCGATGCTTATTGATATGAATTTCAGGAAAAAGAAAAAAAATATCAAAGGAAGATAAATATTAATTGACATATTTATTTGATTTGTTGTTGATAAATTACTCATAAAGCACGTAGAAAGTTCGTGTTTTTTTGTACCTACATACGAAGAATATTTTTTGAAGGGAGAATATAATTATTTTGATTAGTTTAAGTTTTTGCTTTTTCTGTTAGTATCTGTTTTGATGCAGCAACAACACTTTATCAAAGAAAGATAGAGATTTATTCACTGATTTCTTTTTTTCTTGTTGATAAATATATACTTATGTTGTACGGTGTAACGTTGTCAAGTGAATCTCGTATAAATAGAGTTTGAATGGAAGTCACAGCGAGTTTCAAAGATGTCTTATGATAATTTAGAGTGATTATTTAATATTATTGCTTAAGAAAAAAGAATGTCTCTCCATGGTGGTTTGAAGTCTTTACAATACGAATCTTTGCATTTAATCTGGTATTTATATGTAATAGTATCAATAATAATACAGGTTTGATTCGATTTATGATGTCGTTGTACTCGTTCACAAAACCGAAACGAACCTCCGATGTTGTAGAAGAGTAGTGATTGATTTTTGGTGCCTTGTTGACGTGATCGTATGTATCCGTTTGTAAAATTTTCGCGTGAGATGATCTTCAATACAAAATTTGTGAAAGGATCTTGTTGACTGGATAGTTCAGTTGATGTTATTGATGCAGTTGTATGTGTTTGATTGTTGGCCAACATTGTTGTGTTTGGTAAAGTTAAAAACTTGAAATAGTCTGTGACAGATAAGTCAGTTGTATAATTTTTTTGTTTTCGTTTGATATTGACCACCGATTTTGATTATATGCAATGATCATAATATTCGTATTATTGCTTGAGTAAGAGACTAGAGCATGATTAAGAATAGAATCATAATAGGTATTATTATTCATAATCATATGATGGTGTGCATTGTTTTCATTGAAAGGAAAATGATATATGGATAATAATGGATTATTTTTTCCGAATTTCGTTGATTTGTATAATCTGAATTGTTGATTTTTGTTATATACATGAAGATCAAATACCCATTGATAAGAACCATCTAGATCTAATAAATAGAAAATAGAGATTAATCAATGATGGCATAGAAATATACAAGAACTTCTATATAAAAGTTTTTGGAAGTTATTACAAGTTGTATTAGTTCTAGGTATTACACAATCGCAAAAAATTGTATAATTTAATATAGCTTGTAAATCAACAAGATAATCATTTCGATGATTTTTATGATTCATATTAATTAATCCAAAAGATTATTGTTAACATGAATGTGATAATATGAAATGTGAACAATGGTTCAGTACCATCATAGTGAATTGGAAAATGGTTTGTTGTGATTCAAATCTTATAAATGTATTTGTATAAATCAAATGATAACTATGCTTTAGTTCTGTTGATGCCGATGGTACTAGAAAGTGGTTAACAAATGATATTGAATTACGTGAATGCTGATTGGTACAATTCATCATAACGTAATGGAATAGATTTTGCAAAATCAATAAAGACTCTTCAACACTTAAATTGAAAGATTTTTCGACATATATATCAAAGTCAAATATAATTTACAAGGTTATTTTGACAAAGAACTTCATATAATGTGCGGTGAGATGGTTCTAGGAAATGTAATGACTTTAATAATTCATCAAAAGTAAGACTTAAAAAATAGCCTTTTTGATTATTATATTCAGCTGTGACAACAATTAAATTCTGTTCGTTGTTATGTGTTGTCAGCATATTCTTAAGTAAATTATTAAGTTTATAATATATTTTAATTGCTGGTATAATTTGATGTATATAGTGTGTTCCTTGTGATAAAATTTCAACCACAGACATTTTATTAGAAATTCGTAAATCTTTTAAATATGAGTATGATTTTATCTTTATTCGACTTGCTACATGGTAAAGTCGTGTAAAAGAGAATAAATAGATTCAATCAGTGCGCTTATATTTAAAAACAAAATATTTGATATATATATTAATAATATTCGAAAATAGGATTTTTTTAATTAATATTTGTAAGAGTAAAAAAGACAAAAAATATAGGTACATATATAAGTTACATAAAATAATAATATTAATTAATTGAATTCGAATATTGTTTGATCAAATACATTGATCGATACATAGTCTATTTAAAACAATGCTATATATTAATCAGTTAAAACAGAGCCTCATATCGTTGTCATGATTTATTTTTGCGTTACGTATCCGTATTTTTTTATTTATTATATTTTCGGGCATATTATCGTTCTATATATATGTATAAAATGAAAAAAGATACAAATGTAAATATATGTATATTTATTTGTTAAGTGCTGATTTACTATGTCATTCTATATTGTTACATTTATAGCACTTGTTTCATCATTTATTTTGATTAATCTTCTTCGTATATTTGCACCAGTATTTGATGAAGTCGTTGTTACTATTCCTCTGCCCATTATTACGATGCCTTCTGCATCTATAGTAGATGATATTTTTTTTGTGAATTTTTTACAATGATAGTATGGGGATGGGGATTAATAAATATATACTAATGAATGCATTTTTGGAAACACGATCTACAAGGGGTCTTGAAGTATGCGAATACAAAGTTGAATCTGTTTTTCTCCAATAAAACATGGCATTTGTTAGCTAGAGATCAAGACAGAAGCTAGTGGAAACCCATTACAAATCGTGACAGTTGCCGCCCTAAGACTATCACGATTACTTCAGCGACAATCAGAAGCTATCATAGACTGCGGTAAATTCCAGTCAAGTGTTATAATAAGCCTTAACAGAAATTAGCTAAAGACTGTAACAGATACCGAAGAGAGATCATAACAGACTGAGACAAAGGTCATTCAGGTACAATTAGAAACAGTAACAGAACCCAGGTGTATGTCAACACGGACCGTAACGGACATTGTTGGTGTATGATGAAAAACCATATATCTATAAAGTTTGGTTACAATATATAAACTATTTTCACTTTTTTTCTGGAGAATTAATTAAAACGCTTGTGAACAAATGTGTCACAGAATAGATAGAACAAGATAATCCTCAATAAGCAACAATGATAGTTATATCAAGTTTCACATTTTTACATAGAATGGTATTGGTCTAAGAGCTTTGTTTTGTAAGAAATATTCAATAATATCAGCGATAATGTTTTCCTTTACAGCATTTCTTTATTGAAATGTATATTAGATGAACAGTTTTGAGGTTTTTATTAAAGTATCCAATGCACTATTTATAGTACATGTGTATTTTTAGAAGAAAAGATAATCCAATGTAATCATTTACAGTATGACATACAAATGTCGATTAATTATGATAGAGAAAATATCTGTGCATATAAGGCATGCCACAACCTACCGACATTTGTTCCATGTATTTTTTGAGGAATTTCACAGAATTGTTGTTTTGTTATTTGCATCATTGGTTTAAATTCATAATTTTCGTATGGCTCAATGATAGTACCTGATGATAATCGAATCTCATATAATGAATAAGATGAACGATAGTTTTCATTTGCTTTTTGAATTTTTCCATTTGCTATTGTAAGTACCAGGAAGAAATTCTTTAATATATCAAACTTAACTTTTATTTATTACTTCATTAACTATCATACTGTCATATAAACGATCAACATCTTCGTTGAATGCTACTATTTTTATTTCACAGGTAAAGTCGCAAACAATCGCATCAAACACTTTGCTCGACGTGCCAAAAAATCGGATTGGAGATGTGTAAATTTTTTTACAACGTATTTGAAAACTGTAATATATTTGAAAAAACTTAATGTTACAAATTGATTTACTTCAACAAATTTTCATTAAGAGCATTCATTTCTTCAAACGAATTTTCTTCCGAAGGAAAATATTGACTAATCAAACCTTTCATTAGAAAGAAGAATATCGATTTAATAGAATATTTAAAAAATGATTAATACGTTTTGTTTGTTGTGCAGATAAATTAGTTGAAATGTTAGATGACACATCTGATGTATTTTCAGTTGATTCGTAATGGCGAAAAAAATTGCATGATTTCATATATTTTATTCAATTATTTTTTATCAAGAATTTTCTACCAATATTATACTGTTTTTGATCAATTGAATTATTCGTTTCGATTATAATATTTGTTGTTTGTCGATAATTGATATCTGAAACTTGGTCATTGTTATCATCAGTAATATGAATAAAATTACTATTGTTATTTTCAATAACGTTCTCATTGGTAGCTAGTAAGGTAAAAATTTTATTTGGATATTGAATAGATTGCTGGTGAGATATACTTTCTGACGATACAGATGAATGAAAATTTTTCCCTGTTTCATATTCAACAAATGATCCTGTATATATTTACGGATTTTGTGTGTTGTATTAAGAAATGCACGATCTTTTTTTATTATATTTAGAAAAAAATTATTTACTCATTGATATTTCTTCACTTGTTGTATGTTCAGACTCATGATTCGAAGTTTCTGAATCGAATGATGATACTAATAGAACATATGTATATTCGCAAGATATTCACTGTTAATTATTATTTACTTGTATAATACGATCTATTTCTTTTTTCAGCCATATTCTTATTCTTATAGACTGATGAATATATAATTTATGGATAGAAGCAACTATAGAGTGTATGACACAGTTTGATTTTTATTAAACGCGCGACATTAAATATTGTTGTTAGGTTGTTTATTAAATAGCCTTATTTTATTAATTAAATTTTTTGAAGTTTAATAAGAAACAAAAAATCTTGTAAAATGTGGATTTCGAGTGCTCATTTTTTTTAGGTATAGTCGCGATATTTATTATTGTAAAATCATCAGACTTGAACATAAAAAATGTCGATTGAATGTATATATATATATATTTATATTACATTGGAATCATTTGAAATATTTGATAAAGTGGATGATACGGAGAATGTTCGTCTCACCAAACATATGTTTTTGTATTAGTACAAATTGAACAAAAAAAATGTAATTTCACAAGTTTTTTGGAGCTCACATCCGGTTCTGAAAAATTTACGATTTTGAAATGAAGATGAAAATATATTATTTGTTGTAGATACATTTGTTTGTACCTGATTCGCATTAGTAATTCTTTCGCCTGAGAGTAATGGCAGATAGGTTCACCTATGTATATGTATATTTGTATATAAAAGAATCGAAAAATATAACCTCTATTATATGTTGTACGTGAAACTGGTGCACGTATTTCTTGAAATGATATAGATGTAATTGAAAATGTACTTCTTATTGTATTTCGTTCAATGTTACGATTTAATATGCCATTTGTACGTTCTGAGTTACTAATTGAACTATCTGATTCCACGAAGACAGGTGAGATAGAACGTTTTTTGCATTTATTCGATACTGATGTTTTTTGTAAACACTGTCTATTGTATAAAGGTGGTGAACGTTGAGGTTGTGTAGTGCTTATGTTAGATGAATACGAATCATTTTGATGAGAATTTAGAACAATCGATGGTCTTTCGAAACTTAACTGTTGATCATATGGTCCACCATATACAGCAACATAAGATGGCATCGATAAGATGTTTAGTGCTGATTGGTTAAGCCGACCACTTTTTGGCAATGTAAAGCTGTTATTTAATATCATATATTCTTCAAGAAATACGTTATGTTGTTGAAGTTTTTCAATTAATATTTCTCGATCAACAAGATCATTCACTTTTAGAACTACTATTATGTAACAAAATATTGGACGATTAGTACTCATTAATACATAATAATCCGTTAATAGAATATGTTCACTAACTAATTGTTGCAGTGCATTTTTCACAAGAGATCAATGAATGTGATTTATTCCTAAAATTATCAATATAGATTTTTCTAAAAGATTATATTTACCAGGTATAGAATATATTGCGTTTGTCATAATAATAAGGTTGCGCATCATTAACATTTCTCGCATTAAATGTTTTTGAAGTTGCTCTCCAATTAATTTTATTTGTGGTATATTATTATTTCGATGTGTATTAAGATGTAGTAAACGTTCAGATTGTTCGTACAAAAATCCATGCAAATATATAGCTCGACCAACAATATTTTTTGTTACTGTAATAATATACGGTACTCTTTCTCGTATGATTGTTTGTACTTCATTATACAATGCCAAACTCAATCCATGATCTGTCTCTTCAGATGGGCTCCTATGAAAATTGTTATGTTATGTTTAAATATACATATTGATATGTAACATACACATTTATGCGTGTTAAAACTGCTGCCACAATATCACATAGTAGTATTTGTGCAATAGTTGGTTTTCTAAGATCTCTTGGTTTCAATAGATCACGCATAAGTCTCTAGTAAGGTACAACAAGTATTAAACATCGGTCAATAACTCCAACGGTAGGAAGATCATCAAGGCATTCACGAATCAATGGAGTGAATGATTTTCCAGTTGAAGCTCCACAGAGAGTCAAATTGGATTGACATATATTTTGTCGAGAGCTCTTGGTTTTTTTATTATCATCTAAACCCTCCCACAAAGGGCAAAGAAGTTGTCGACTATCATTTTCACCAGTAACGTAAAAACCCATATTATTTAATGTTGTATCGATTTCCTCTTGTAATACCAGTACGTCAGCAGACTGAACTAACTAAGTATAATTAGATTTTAGATTAAGTGTTTTTTAGAAAATGAAAAGAATTAATATCAATAAAATATTAGATTTAGCAATTATGGCAAAAATTGAAAATATATGACAACAGTACGAGGTTTATTGAAACAGCAACTTAAAATATAATAAATTACTTGATCATAAAGACCTGCTGTAGTAAATGTATCAACAAGGCTATTGTATGAACCTTGATCACCAAGATTATGTTGTCGCAAAAAATCTATCATAGCAGTATATGCAGCTCGTACTGGTCGGATGAATTCTGATTCACATGCACCTATAAATTACCTTTTTTAAACCATATATACATGGAAAAAGAAAGAATGATATACCACTAATTCCTAATATAAATGAATAAATGTTTAAATTTTTCCGAATCTCATTCCATTGTAAAATAGTGACATTATGAGCAACATGTGCCAGTACTGTGAGTAATGCAAAAAAAATTCCTATCGGTTGTGCTGAAGTATCATAATCGTAATTCATAAGTCATTCAATTATTTGGAGTTCAATACATTCTTCAGTGTCAATTTCTACATCCGCTGCATCGGGTAAGCCACTACGTAAAAGCTCGGATAATGTACGATCATCATATTTACGTAAATTTCTATTTAAAACTGCAAAACTCATTCTGAAGATAGATATAGTGAATGATATGAAATTAATTAATATCGATACTTCGAGTACCAATTAGATGATTAATGATGAACAAAAAATGAACCAAATAATCTTGAACAAATTCCTTATTGTTTAATGAATATCTTTAATATAGTGTCTAATCCAAATACTGTGACTCCTGTTCTTTATTCTTTTTTTATTAATATGCTTAATGAATAATATTGCTATAATATTGTTCAATTGCTATTATGTTTAGTTGAATACTAATGATTGATTTCACATTGATGCTGTCAAGTAAATGTTTTGTTCTTGCTTAGTATTTCCTATCAAAAATATTATTTTAATACTACTGAATTAATTCGTAATGCTTGGATGGTTGCCTTAAGTTACTTTATAATAGAGATATTATCAGGCAGTTAAATGATTTTGAATGATTACTAAATAATGTGACTTTTTTTTAGTATTAGAGATATAAAATTTTTTATTAATAAAATTTTGGCGCAGTTATAGAGAAATATCTGATTGAATTTCTTATCTTTTTTTTCAATATTAATATATGATATTCAAAATAAGCAACAATACTATTATCTGTTTTTTTTGCAAAAATGAATTTCTTTTGGTGTAACGCGTCCTGGATTGATGATCAGTATTTTAAAAGTATCTAACAACGATGATCTATATTGTTGTTTTTGTGACCAAAAAAAGATGAAAAATAGTTTTGCCATAATAAACTACTTGTCAGCTAAAACATAGGCACGTTTTCCCATCGTATTGAGACACATTCTTGTTTAAATCATTTTAGTAGGAGAAAAGATGAAATTTTGAAAAATTTAAGTTCTATTAAAATAAAAAATAGTTCTATTTGCTTTTTTAACAAGTGTTAAATTGAGGTTGTGTCATGAGCGTTTAAAAAAGGATTTCAAATACGTAGTCAAATATTTGTTTTTATTTATCGTTATCCAAACTGTGCCATTTTAATGAATGAAACAAATTAAAGACACAGATTATAAGTGAAAACAATAAACAATTTATATTTGTATTTCCTGTTGAAGCCATCTTAATTCGCATGTTAATCGATTACGTTCTAAAAATCATGTACAGGAATTTCAATTTATATAGTCTATGTATAAACAGTCTTGTGAAGGGAATTTTTTTCACTAAGAAAATGAGTAGCTCAAGAAGATTTATAATAGTGGATTATAGTTACTAAATATCTTTCAGAGAACGCAGTATTATATGTACATATCTTCTTTTAAAGCACGAAAATGATCTTCCTTTTGTTTTCATATAGAATTTTTCAAAGCATGATCTTTTCATTTTTTGAAATGGTTCGGAAAAATTCAAAAGATATGTTACTTTTACATTATCCTAGTTTATTATATATTTTTTCAGAAAAAAAAATTCTTATATAACTTTGTTCCGATTTAAATAAAACATGAAGAAAGTATGTAATCAAATAAAACATTTTGATATAACGACACATAGGATATTTGAAAGTATGAAAATGAAAAAACTACAAAATGTTGATTTTGTTTCAATTTGTTTTTTTTTCGAGAAATAAATTTTTAAAACAGGAATCGTGTCTTAAACAACTCTTTTTTTATCATAAAAACTTCAGATAACATCTATGTTGATAATGAATAAAATCTGTCTATTTAATAAATAACTCAAACTATGTTTTGCTTGAATATTAAAAATGATAGATTATAAAATATAAAAATAAAGTACGTAAGTTCAATCGAAAAAAATATAATGTCAGTCTATTGGCTATTATTACAATTGAATTGGAAAGCACAGAGACCTTATCAATAGATCATTAAATAAGTACAACTTAAATAGAAAAGTGAATGAAATTCTTCGAAATAGCTCTCAGTATATTTGTCTTCCTATCTATATATATATATATTTAATTACGATAGCCTTTTATTATTCTAATATTACTACATAGTATTTTAAAAAATCTGCTATAACTAGCAAAGCAAATATATGTTCACCCATGATAAGATATTTTCTTTTATGTAATATTGTTTTTCTACACGTCATCGTCACTTTCCTCGTGATATTTTATATATCCATAT